GGGCTCCCTGCTTGTTCTGGGGCCGCAGATGAGGGAAGAGATCTCTGCAAAAGCTCCTGGGCACTTACTGTCTGGGAAGAACTGAAACTCCATGGTGGAGCTGCCATGGTCCTTTCTGTGAGTGGAGAACCTTCCGAGAATAGAACAGAAGCTGCCATGGGTCCTATCACAGGGTCTTTGCAAGGCCTGGGAGTCTGAGGCAGTGCAAGGGAATTGGAAGGAATGAGAAGAGGTCAGCCGCACTGTGGAGGTCCAAACACTGCTACAGGGGTTGGCAAAATAGGGTGCATGGCTCCCTCAACCCTAAGTTATCCAACTCCATATTGGCAGTGGTGATAGGGACAGGCCTAGATGGAAGAGCCACAGCCTTCAGGTTGGACAGGCCCTCTGGGAAGCTTGGGGTGGGAGGTATGAGTGGTGTGGTCTCAGTTGAGAGGGAGGAGTTAGGGCAGGGGTTGTCAGGAGGGGCCAGAGCTTGGTGTTTCTTATTAGAAGACATAAGAAAATACAGCCTTTCTTTTAGAATCTTCAAAGTCTCCAAATTCATAAGTTCACTATTGCAAAGGAACCAGGTCCTGAGTTTGAGTCTTTGTGCAGGGTGGTTGCCTGGCATGGTGCTGAAGCCTCCAGGTGAAGAGTGCTGGTGGCCAGCTATGGCCTGTGGGAGGGGCTGGCTCCATCATCCCTGTACTGCCTTCCTTCTCTTCCAGGTCTCACTCCTTCACTCCCAAGTGCAACTCCCAGGATCTTCTGCCATAAACTCCTGGCACTTGAATCATTGCTTTGGTCTCTGCTTCCAAAGGGTCCAAGCCAAGCTAGGGTCACACCATCCTGTAATGAGCACTGAAGACACTATGCACGTTCAAGGGCAAGTCTGTGTGCATCCACTTTTTCAGGAGCCTGTAAGTCTCACCTCTGGTGTTCAGAATCAAAATTCTGGTCCTATGGTGGTCCCTCTTCACAATGGGAGCATTGACCCTGCACACACCAGGCTGAGACTTCACACCCATTGACTGGCAAATTGGCCAGGCATGCATTTTCTATATCCTGGCACTGCCTGCCCTCCTGGACTTGGGCCCCTGGACCTCCTTAGCCCACATACCCATTGGAGTCTCCCTAGCCACCCTCCTGCTCCTCCAATTCCTGGCCTTCATGTTGCTTACCTCCCTGCCATTGAACAGGTCAGCTCCTGGTATTCTTTTGGATGCCAGACCAGCCCTGTTCCACTTCAGTTGTGGACAATGGCCAGTCTCCTTCTGCAGGAACCTGAATGCTCACTACCCAATTTCTCTAAGAATGGTGCAGAGTAGTTACAAGATGGCTCCAAAGTCAGGCTGCTCAACTGTGCTGCTTCTCAGCTGCATCAGTGTGCTCAGGCTGCCATCATAAAGATCCCAGACTGGGGCTCACACAGCAGACACATATGGTCTCATAGTCCTGGAGGCTGGAGGCTAGAGTTCAATATCAAGGTGTTGGCTGGCTTAGTTTCTCCTGAGATCTCTCTCCTTGGCTTGTAGATGGTATCTTCTTCCTGTCTTCACGTGGTTGTCCTCCTCAGTGTGTGTGTGTTCTGATCTCCTCTTATGAGGTCACCAGTCATGTTGTGCCACATCCTGCACCACCAAACTCACAGAACAGGCAAGGGGCGATGGGGGAGTAGAAAAGAAAGACTCACACGTGCAGATTGTGAAGGAAAAGAACTGGGATCAGGTGGAGCACTACTCTCTGAGGGAGAAGCAGATCTAAAGAGTTATGCCAGCAAGCTTTATTTATATACATCTCATTATCAGGTTAAAGACTATGTGAGCATTATTCTTTATACTCTGGTAAATTACAGAACTAGAAACATCTATGTAGCTTTGCCACAGTTGCAATGTGCAATGTTAGGAGCTTTGTGTAGTGCTCAAGGAGCCCATTGTTTAAGGTTACTGTTAAGCAGACAGGCTCAGGTGCAGCAGAGATGGTGAAACATGGTGGTTGTCTAGCATGAGAATTCTTCTATCCCATATATGCCTGAGATCAAAATGGATGCTGATAAGACTTTTGCACAAAGTCTTTTCAGGTGGGGCATTACCATAGCAGCAAGGCATCCTGTACCCTTGCATAGAAACATTTCCAGGCAGCAGGTTTGCCACATCCATGGGGTCATCAATGTCCCCCAATCTCAGTCACTGCTCTCCCATTCTCTGTCACTGCTCTCAATGTTGGATTAGGGTACATCCTATTGGCCTCATTTTAACTGAATTTCCTCTTTAAAGGGAATTTAAACAAACATAGTCACAATCACATTCTGAAATACTAGGGGTTAGGACTTCAACATATGAATTTTGGAGGGAATAATTAGGTGTGTGACCTTGGTTGAGTTCATTAACCTTTCTGTGTCTTCCATTGTAATACAGCAGTGAAGATAAGTTTATTGTGAATATTAGAGTATGAAATTGTGGTCTTCAAATACTTTTGCCTGAATAGTTTCTAAAATAATTCACAAATCTAAGTAACTCTTGATCTTTTTTTGTTGATATCAAAACTTTTCATCACAAATGTGAATTATTGCAATGGATGCAATAATTCCAGAACACTGCAAATGCTAACATCTTAAAATTAAATGGTTACACCTGTTTTTAAACTTAAATGTCTTGTTGTTAATTACCATGATCATTTATGACCATTTATTTAGAAACCATTTATTAGAAAAGAGAGAGAAGCCAAGTGTGGTGGTGCAATCCTGTAATCCCAGAGGCTCTGGAGGCTGAGACAGGAGTATTTTGAGTTCAAAGCCAGCCTCAGCAAAAGTGAGATACTAAGTAATTCAGTGAGACCCTGTCTCTAAATAAAATACAAAATAGTGCTGGGGATATGGCTCAGTGGTTGAGTGCCCTTGAGTTCAATTCCTGGTACCAATAAATAAATAAATAAATGAGAGAGAGAGAGAGAGAGAGAGAGAGAGAGAGCGCGCATAAACATGCTTTAACTGTTGGAAAGTTCATATTCTTCATATTGGGATATTGGGATCAGCTTATTTCATTTAGCATGATGGTCTCCAGATCATCCATTTACTGGTGAATGTCATAAAGTCATTCCTCTTTATGGCTGAGTAATATTCCATTGTGTATATATACCGCATTTACTTATCCATTCATCTGTTGAAGAGCACCTGTGTTGGCTCCATAGCACAGCCCTTGTGAATCATGCTGCTATGTGGAAGCTAAACCACACACACACACACACACACACACACACACACACACAAAAGAGGTGCAGGGGGTGGGGAAGAAGAGAAGTTCAGTAGACTAGACAAAGGGAAATGAAGGGAAGAGAGGGGGAATAAGAATAGGAAAGACAGTGGAATGAATCTGACATAATATTCCTCAATGTTTATTGGAAGCAAAATATTGGAAATGTGCAGCCCTGTCTTGTGGAAGGGTTGGCTACCTGGTAGAGAGGTACTCACTTTCTCAACACTGACATCATCTCTTGTTTTTGCGTACTGGCAATTCCCCCTAGGGCAGGTCGCCTAATATTATCTTGATGAATGAAAAGTTTGCCTTGGTTTTATAAAATAGAAAACAGTTACATCATGACAGGGGAGGGAAAGAATACAGATCCGAAGTAAATGGCACATTGTTTTGTTTGAAAGAATAACGACGTGGAAGATGAAGATCCAGAAATTGGTTTCCTTCAAACTGTCCTACATGAGAGTGATTTGGGGTATGAAAACCCTAGACTGAAGACCACTGGTCCATATAAATACTCTTAGAATAGTGCTACAAATATAGGAATTATTTAATACATACCATGGTTGCTCTTGTTATTGTTGCATCTATAAATTATCTAGCATTCAGTAGTTACTCAGTAAATGGAGTATAGGAAGAATCTGGGTACTGGTCAGGAGTTGGACAAGATAAAGCTATACAGACATTTGTGAAGCTGAAAGTCTCCCAGCCAGCAATGAAACCTGCATTGGTTACTTCAAATTTAACAATTTCATGCAAGTGTTGTATTTGCTCATAGTTCTGCAGGTCAGCAATTTGGGCTGGGCCCAGCTGAGCAGTTCTTCTGGTCTTAAGTGGAGACACTTGGCTAGTAACAATCTAATAGTGGAGTAGCCGGCGCAGGTTACTTTGGGGCCTCAGCTTGGATGACCGATGTCTGCTCCATGCTGTCCCATCTTCTAGTGGGTTGGCAAGACTTCCTCAGGAGGTATCAGAAGAGTTCCCTGCAACAAGAGAGCAGACTCCACAGCCAAAGGCCATTGATGCTTCCGCACTTGGGACCCATTGACTGATGTTCCCTTGGCCCAAGCAGCTCATGTGGCCAAGCCAGAGTCAGCATTATACTAGGTGTGGACAGACACAGGGAGGCGTGATTCCCTAGGACCATGGATGTGACCCTTCAACACAACCCAGGATTCCCCTAGCTGTTCCAACTTTCCTTCTATATGGAGGAAATTCAATTATAGGCCTTGAATTTGACACTTGTTTCATTAAGTTCCTAGGTATTCTTATTTTTCCTCTGCAGCCAGAATCATTTAGTTTTCTCCAAAGAGACCTGCTATAGAAGGATGTCTTGCTCCAAGACTGGTTTCCCCAGGGCCTCTTTTGAGTCTGGGAAGAGCATTAATCAGAGAATGCTCGCCCATTTTATCATATATTAGGAGCTTTTAAGTGGAGACCAGCTGTCTCATCTGATCTCAGGAAGGCTTTGTCGTGACTAAGGTAGAGCTTGGAATTCTGTGACACTTTCATCTCAAGATCTATCTGTTTAGAAACCAATCAACCTGCTTTGGCCAAAAATAAATATTATGAGCTATAAAACCAGGAAGTCTGACATGTATGGTTTCCTGCCTGACTAGATCCAGAACTGGAAAAATGTCAAGTTTCTGGGGTGTCCTGTGATGTCTTTGCTGTATTCCCCCAAGAGAGTATGCAAAAACCCATATATATATATATATCTCCCCAAAGTAGCATTTATTTACCTCTCTCTTCTTTTTTCTTTCACAGTGAGACATTATTTGGTGAAATGTCCTCAGAACAGGTAGGAATATTTTCTTCTTTTTTCCAAATGAAACTCTGCTATTGTACTTTTTTTGTTGTTATGACTAAGAAACCAGTTAAATAAGTATTTTACCTAATGGTCTACATGTAAGTGTATAAATAAGCCCTTTAACGATGTGTGTTCTGCATGTGTGTGCGTGTTGGAAGATTTCACAATCTGATTATCTCCCCTGGAGGGTCCAGATAGTATTTGACTCATGCTAGCCCAACCCGCATGCTGGAGGAAGCTTGGAGTGTGCAGGTCTGCACCCCTGTTTAGGAGGGGACTCGCAGTTGATCAAAACCATGTTGGTACCTTCTGACCACAGATGCTCCTAATGTCCTTGGACCAATGTCGCCCCACTTTTACCTGGTGGGACACACCTCATAGGTAGTTGTGAGAAGATATTTGCAAACTCATATCATTTAAAATTTGGGGCTTCTAATCCAGACAAGATAGCATAGGTCAATTTTTCCTGCTCTTCTCTGGAAAGCACATCTATAAACTCTGGAAATAACAAGAGAAAACCCAAGGAGGACTTGGGGAGGTAGTCAGAAGAAGGAAGTCTTCTTTCAAGGGTCCCTGGTCTGGGGAATTACAAAGTTGCAGAGCATCTTATGTCTTCTCCATCCAACAGAAGAAGGGGACTAGACCCATTTTTTTTTTTTATTCCCAGACTAGTGACAGAAAGCACCCAGGTAAGCTCATTCCTTCCCTGTATCTAATGGGCATTTCTCTGACAAGCTCAGCTTATCCCTACACCCCAGCAAGGGGCATGGGTTGGGAGCCCCTCCCAATAACAATAAGCATCAAGATAGGGGTTCTTCTTTCCATAGACCTGAAACTCCCCTCCCCAGATGACATCAGGGCTGGAGGAAAGCACTGGAAAGAGGAACCCAGACCCAATAAGAGGCCCAACTAGGAAGTTTCTTCTTCTCCATGGGTCCACTCACCAAGAGACATCCAGCTCCATCTAGGGAAACCCCTCCCACTCAGGCAGCTCCCAAATAATCCAAACAGGTTAAAATAAGATTGTAAAGTCTCTGAAGGTGAAATGAACTTCTTGGCCTGCAGAAGTTGGCCAAGATCGTGTGATAACCTAAACAGGGCGAAAGCCTGCAAAAAATTAGAAGATTTAAATAGAACCCAGAACCTCCTAATAGGATTCTTCCCCAAATCACTCGTCACACTGAAAAACACAAACATTATGGCTTGAACAAGAAAAGATCATTGACTAGGTCAACACGGAGATGAGTCAGGTATTGGTATTGAACTGACAAGGATTTTAAAGGCATCATCAAAAAATGTTTGACAAGAAATTACAACATCTCTTAAAACAAATGGCAAAATAGAAAAGCTCAGCCAATAAAGAGAAATTATTTAAAAATGGAAATTGTGTAATTTAAAAATATAATAATAGAAATAAAATTCTTAATGAATGAGAATTTTAAAATCCTTACAATGGTAGTGTGGAGATGTCAGTGGAGAGCTGTGAACTGGAGGACAGATCAGTAGGATTCATCTGTCTGAATCACAGAGAGAAAATAGACTAAAGGAGAACAAGCAAAGTACAGTCCTCAAGGACCTAGGGGACAAAAGACCTGACATTCTGTCACTGGAGTTCCAGAACTAGAGGAGGAAGAGTGTAGAGTAAAAAGAGAATTGGAGGAAATAATGGCTGAAAACTTCCCAAGTGTGGCAAAGGAAAAGACTTCAGGATTTAAGTGAGTGCCAAGCAGGATAAACCTGATGTAACCCACGTGGAGACACAGCGGAAACAAGCAGAAGATGATTTGCATGTCAGTGCATTTATTCTCTGAATCCTTGCAGAACAGAAATAAATGGTGCATTTCTTAAATATTGAAAGAATAGAACAGTCAGCCACAAAAAAACCAAAATAATTTGTAACTAGCAGACTTGCTAGCAACTAATATAAAAATTTAAAAAAATAATAAAAAAATAAAATAAGTATGAAAAAATTTTTTTTGAGAAAAAAATTGGGGGAGCATCAGGAAGAAAGAAGGAACAACAGAAAGAGCTGATACATACAGTAGAAGAGTCTATGGATTCTCATGAGCTTTAAAATAATATTTAATCATTAAATCAAGAATTACAAAACTATCTCATACTCATGACATTGATATTTTAAAGTGAGGAAGATAAAATGACCCAAATAGAAAAGAAGTCTCCATACTTCACTCAGTGATGGATACTGGTACCAGTCAATGTTGGTCAATCATTGACCAAACCAGCTACTAAAATAATTGTGAAAACAAAACCCGACTCAAAAATAATATAGAGCTGGGTGCAGTGGTGCGTGCTTGGAATCCTAGAGGCTCAGGAGGCTGAGGCAGAAGGATCTTGAGTTCCAAGCCAGCTTCAGCAACTTAATGAGGGGCTAAGCAACGCAGTGGGACCTTGTCTGTAAATAAAATACAAAAATAAATAAATAAATAAATAAGGGGGGGGGTAGGTGGCACTGGAGATGTGGCTCAGTGGTTAAGTGGTTAAGTGCCCTGAGTTTAATCCCTGGTACCAAAAACAAAAAACAAAACAAAACAAATACACACACACACACACACATATATGTATATACACACACATATATGTGTGTATATACATATTGTCTAAATATACCAATCAAATCACAGAGAGTGGCAGAGTTGATAAAAAGTGTGATCCAACTATACTCTGTTTCTAAGAAATTCATTTCATATAAAGTGACATAGGTAGATTGGAAAAAAAGAAGAGAAAAATATATTCCACATAAACAACAACAAAAACATCAGGGTGGCTACACTATACTTGATAAAATAGACGTAAGAGCAAATTAAGCTTCCTGAGGCCAAGAGGGGCATTAAATGATAAAATGATCAATCAGCCAGGAATACAAAGTTCCTAAATGTGTAACACATCATACAAAAGACCACAAATTAAAGCAAAACCTGAAAGAGCTGAAAAAAAAATAGATAAATCCAGTTCTGCGTAGGAACCTGAGTACCCTCAGTAGCCTCCTTTCAACACCTGATAGATCTGCTATAGACAGAAAATCAGCAAGGATGATGAAGATCTGAACAATGCAGCCAACCAACAGGACCTGGCTGACATAAAACACCGACTATAGAAGAACATGCTTTTCCCCCAGCCCCCAGGGAACATTAAATAGACCATATCCTGACCTATAAAATAAACCTCAAAATATTTAAAATAATTGAAATCATAAAGTGGTTCTTTGACTACATTGGAATCAAACTAAGAATCATTAACAAAATAACATCAGGGAAATATCTAAATATGTAGAAATTAAACCACACACTTTTTTGTTGAAATTGACAAATTGATTCTCAATTATATATGTAAATTTTGAAAAAGAACAAAGAGGATTTACACTTCTTCTCATTCTAATGCTATAGTAATCAAGACATTTAGGGATTTGTGCAAATATAGGTACAGAGATTATTGGTACAGAGATCAAATATAGGTACAGAGATCATAACTGAGAGTCTAGAAATAAATCCTTACATTTATGGTCAATTGAATTTTGATACAAAGCCAAGACAATAGTGTTAGATTCATAGATATTCAAAGACAAAATTATTAACTGAGACCCTTGTCTCTTATTGTCCTCGAAATTAATTAAAAATAATTGAAAACCTTTGTAATTACATTTTAAAATTAAAGGATAAACCACTAAATGAAAGAAAATACTTGCAAATCAGGTAACTGTTAAGGAATTTGTTGACAAAATATATAAAGAGCTCTTACAACTCAATAATAAGATGATGTAATTACAAATGGACAAAAGAGATTTGAATAGATATTTCCGTAAATAAGATATACAAGTAGCTAATAAGTACATTAAAATATGTTCAATATCATTAGGCATTAAGGAAATGCAAATGTAAACCACCATGTGATACCACTGCAGACTGACAAGAAGGCTGGAATCCAAAAGCAGACGATGTCAGTGCTGACAGGGATGTGGAGAAACTGAATCCTTATATGTTGCTGGCGAGAATGTGAAAGGGTGCAGTCACTTGGAAAAATAGTCTGGTAGTTTTTTAAGACATACAATTTAACATATGGCGAGCAATTCCACTTGAGGGGATCTGTCCACACAAAGACCTATATGTAGATGTTCATAGTTTCTTTATTCATAATAACCAGAAACTGGAGATAATCCAAATATGTCCATCAATTGGTAGAGACAATCCAAATATGTCCATCAACTAGTGAATAAGTAAACAAAATTTAGCTTATCTACCCAATGAAATACTGCCTGGTAATGAAACAGACTTCAGATATAGGCTAGTCTCAAAACACTACTAAGGAAAAGAAGCCAGATGCAAAAAACAAAACAAAACAAAACAAAAAACCCATATCATATGATTCCATGTTAGTAAAATGCCTAGAAAAGGTAAATTTATAGAGATAGAAAGTAGATTAATTATCACCTATGGCTGATGGTTAGAAGTGGAGATTAATTTAAAATGGGCAAGAGGGACATTCTGGGTGATTGAAACATCCTGAAACTTAACCTTAGTGACTGACCATTACATGACTTTAGAGATCCTTTAAAAACTGTTGAATTTTACATTCAACAGTAAAGTTTACAGTACATCAATTATACCTCAATAAAGCTGTTTCTTTTTTTAAAGCATGCTTCCCCACAAAGCCCCAAGAACTAGGGTGACACTGTCATTTCATTCTTGGGGGAGGATATGGCTGGGCAGTCTGAGGCTGCAGAGCAGCTGGCTGGCCTTCATTACTCAGTGTTTGCTTCCTGCCATGCTTGTGTCTAATTAGCCTGCGACTTGTGCTGATAGGTCCCTCCTCTTTCCCCTCCCTGGCCTCCCCCTACCCCTGCCGTGATGAACTGAGACTGAACTGAGCAAGCAGTGTGTCATCTTAGCCTGGTGGTTGGTAGAGTTTGGTTTATCCCCAGCTCTGGAGTACCCGATTGTGTTAGGTTTCCGTTGCTGTGTCAAAATACCTTAAAA